TGGCATCTAATTCAGGTCATTACAGACTTGGGTACAGATACCTTCGGTTTTTATTTGTCTTGCTTTGTTAGTTTTTTCCCCCTACACCTCACATCTGCTGATTGCAGGCTACGGGGCCACCCTGGTCATCCAACTGATGAGTGAGCAGAGGCCAGAAACCACACCTTGCTGTCATTTCCCTGGGCCTACTGTCTCAGTTTCTTACCCTAGAGGATCAGGACTCCTGGATTCTGGGGAGGAACATGGCAGTGTGACAGTCCCCAGACCGCCAAACACCTCAGACATCTTCCCTCTTCTCTGTCTCCTCCACCCTCTCTCATTGCTGGTTCCTGCCAAATACCTCAGACATCTTCCTTCTTCTCTGTCTCCATCCTCCCTTCTCTCATGGCTGGTTCCCATTAGCCTTTCAGTGACCACTCTTTGCCTGGATAGCGCAGTGATTTATCCACAGGCTCTGGAAGGCTGAGATTCAGGTTCTGCTACTGTAGGCTCTGGGGAAGTTTCCTCCGTCTAACTTCAGTTTCAGTGTCTACGAGATTCCAACAGGAACTCTCAGAGGAGAGTGTCCTCCCAGACTGGTGTTGGTCTTCTGTCAGCACTCTTGGGTGTTGTGGGGCAGCAGCTCTGCCCAGCTCCAAAGGACACGATGAAGAGAAGGTCTGAGCCTCCTGGGGACTGAGGAGCCTAGGAACCCACGGGACATTTGGATACCTCTATGCTCCCTTTTGTCCAAGAGGTCATCGCAGAGGGATCCTTGGTCAGGGCTGTTAAACACAGAGGAGATGAAAGGACAGAGGCCCTCTGCTGGTAGCTCTTAGAACTACAGCCTCTCTGCAGCTGGGGTGGGAGCTCTCAGGTGTTCCCGTGGGAAACAGACTCAGAGCTTCCTGGAGACTTCCCAGTACAATTCTGCTCAGTTGGACCAAGAACTATTGCCTAAATCCTTGATTCCATGACTGTTAAATCAGTCCTCCTATACTTGCCACACTGTAGATACGGAAACAATGCTTTTAGATTGAATGGATTATGTTATCTCCTGTTCAGATAGGAAGTGCTGATGGATGTGATGTGAGCCTTCTGTCTTCAGGCTGGTAAAAGTTTATTTAGCTTTATTTTTTCATTTGATGTTTTCAAATACTTTGTAAGGCAACTACCACTTGCTTTTTCTTTTTAATTAAGAAAATGGATGCTCAAGACTTGAATGACTTACCTGAAGTCACATAGCTAATAGTAATGATAGAGCCAGGTCTCAAATGCAGGATAAAAACCCAAGACTATCAATATCTCATTAGGCTGTTTCCCTGCATAGTGAATACTACTGGGATGAGAAATGGGGGCAGAGGAGAGTTTCCTGGCAGGCATCTTTACCAGAGAGAGAGTTCTCCTTCCAGAAAGCCAGTGCATTTCATGTTTCTGATAACCATCAAGTGAAGCAGACAGGATCAGAGACCACACAAACGTCCACCTACACAGTATTTTGAAACAGGAAAGGTGATCATCGTGGAAAGTAAAGGGTGATAGGGCCCAAGCTAATCACCCTGCAGACTTTTCCTGGACTTTATCAGGGTCAGAGGAGAATAGGTGTCCCATCGGTTTACTAGGAGAAGTGAGTGGGACTTTTGTGGGGGAGAGGGGATGAGGGATAAGCATGCTTTCCCTGTCATGATTTGAGGCCTTATCCCCAACTACTTTCCCTACCTTTCTATCATCACATTTAGAATCCCATTGCTATTTCTTTGTGTTGCAGTTCTATCAGTTATTGAATCAGAAATAAACCCAGAGAAGTAATTCTACAGATTCATTGAACTAGTTATTAATACTCACCTTTCACTACCTGAAGGCAGGAAGGCAGGATCAACCTCATGGGAATGGAAAATAGAACTTGAATGTTTGAATAATTATGGAGGGAAGGTGGGAAAGCAGATCTTTTGCATGGGGTCACTCTGTCTGGGAAGCAGCTTATGTGAGAATGGCGGGACGTGTGTGCATGAGGAACAGGGAAACAAAAGTAGGAGGGGTAGCCCCAAAGACAGGCTTTCTCTACCACCTCACTTTGCATTTCACCTTAGACAAGCTTTTTCTGAAGCCCTTAATTACCATTAAAGGATAAATGTAGGTTCTCAGTAGATACACGTTGAATGAGTGGATAATAACTTGTTTACAAAACCACATTGGCTCCCCTTTCCCACACCACCCATCCTCTGCTGCCTCAGCCACTGGCAATTGGGTTCAGGTACAGCAAACTCATACAGCAGGCCAGGTGCCTTCACCACCAGACTAGCACAGTGACAGATACCTCTTGACATGGGTATACCTTCTCTCACCAAGACAGGCATTTATTGAGCCAACAGTCACTTAAGAATGCATTTCTAAGTTGTTTAATGGTTTGCTTACCAAGTCTAAAGTACCTTCATTTGTTCCACAATCCAGACTCCAACTGTGGACTCATGTTTTTTTTCTGGTAACCTATGATGGTTAACCTGAACATGGTTAAATCACTCACTCAGCATGTCTCTGAGATTTACATGTGCATGTCTCGGTTTACTAGATATTCATCATCATACTTCAATAGTTTGCCAGTCCTATCTCTGTTTTGTCTTTCTTATCAGACTGGAGGTTCTCAACAATAAGTAGGCTGTAGCTCTTGATTCCAGGGTTCTCCATTTGAGATTCTGCCTACTCCTCAGTGTGCAGGGCATGATGTCCTATATCCCACCATAGAAGAAAACACATTTAATAGGCAAGTGGAGTTAGTTCTCTCAGAAGAGTAAGAGTTTTCCGAGCACATAGAACTTGTTTTCTCCTATGGATCGATATTATCTTCCTAAACTTACCTCTTCACCAACCATCTACCCAGACTCAGTCCTCATTCAAAATGTTACCTTACTCAGACCCATCATGAATACAACCAGAGGGTAGTTTCATGGAAATTCTATGGTTATTGACAGCTTAATAGACATGACATAGTTGTCAATAGCTGAGCTGATGAAGTTGGGGTATAGGACAAATTTGGCCACCAGGATTAGTTGTCCTTTTAGTTGTACTTTTGTGGCTCCCCTACTCTTGCCCAGAGGCCACTAAAGGAGAAAGGAGATTATTAGGTCTATTTTTAAGGATCCCTTTATCCTGATCTTCCTGGGGCTTATTTCCAGTTCATATACTTTTTATTTGTCCATAGTCTGTATATTTTAGGAAAGATTACTCTGTCTTTTTAGTTATCATTTCAATTCTAGCCTAACTGGAGATCTCTGAGGCTGATCTGAGATAAGGATGATGTCCTATTGATCATATGGGAGTTCCTTGGAAGTAAGGTCCTGATTTCTTTCCTTATACTCCCCCCAGGGCTCCCCACTCAATGTTTATTGTAGAGTGAAGAGGTCCATGCTGAGGGCATCTTCTGGCTGTGGTTCCACCCTCAGGATGGCTGAGCCTCTCAGGAAGACATGCCTGGGCTGAGGTGGCCACAGAGTCTATCTCATTCCTGTATCCTGAAGTTCCTCCTCATGCTGCTGAAAGTTTGCGTGATGGCTTTACGAAGAGAACATATGGAGTCTATGCACAGGCTGAATAGCATGAACTTCTCACAAGTCTGTTCTGGTGACCAGGACTGTTAAAGACATACTTTGCAAGTGTCACAATCAAACTCAGCCCAGTATAGTGCCCATACACTCCTGTACCCCAGACATCCCACCAGCATGTGTTGGGCGTTGGGCCCCTTCCATCATGGAGGGAATAATTATCAGCCTTTATTGCAAATTACATATTCTGGATTTGAAATTTCTTTCTCCCATAGTCATCACTGTCCTAGCACCACATTCCTTGAATTACCTGAGTGCCTTATGTATTCCACAAACAAAGAATATGTTTTCCAAGCAAGGATGTCACCTTGGTGCTAGAGGTGGATCCCCATGGTTAGTGCTGCACATTGAATTCAGTGACTTTATGCACCCCTCTCTAGAATCAGCTGGCCCTTTACAATATCAGAATGACCTATTGAAATCTGAGCACCAGCTCAAACGAGGAGACACCTTTACAGGCTGAAGTGCTCCTCTGTAAAATTAGCTCTAAACTACTTGTTTGTCCCTGAAAGAAATTTTTAGTTAATAAAATATGTGAAGGTGAAGTTGTCACAATTGCACTTCATAGTTCATACTCCCTAACTGGGCTGTGAAGCTCCCACAGTGTCCTTGTAGCAGTCATTGACCAAACTCTCTAAAACTGTTCTCATTTTTGTTTTGCTAACCCTCAATCAGCTGGCCAAAGGAAACTGCTCATAAAAGGTTATCAGTTAAAGCTCTCAGGTTCTAACCAAAGCAGCAGAGGTGGGATGAAAAGATAGTAAAGGAAGAAAAGAGGGTGATCAAGTGGGGTCTAGGGCGGTTGGCATACTGTGAAGGGTGAACACATATCAGGAAAAACCGCCCTGGGTTTCCTGTTTATCTGCTACATCATGGCCACAGTATTTTTGTGTTAACTTCTCAGGTCTCAAAACTGAGAAGAATCCTTCAAAATTGATGACCAGAATGTATCTATGAGACACCTGGGAGTTGGGCAAGGAGAAGCTACATGCAATGCCTCCCACTGCCTTCCCCTCCCCTGTACTACTGTTTAGTCACTCTTCATCGGACTTCCTTTACCCAAAGCACGTGTTTTCTACTTCAGTGTGTTTGGTGAGGGGTTTGATGCCCCAAATGGCTATGGAATGGCCAATGGATAATAAGTCAATTGTCAATTTGTTAGAGAGAACATAATCCCCATGTCGTAAACTCCGACAGCCTAAAGAATTTTGAAACTTTCTTCTTCATCGATAGGGGAAGAAGGTTGTTCTGAATAGTCACAGTGAAGATATGCATAAAACAACTGCTGAAGCTCTCTTCCTGTTTCACAGCAGTGAGACAAGTAAGCCTGGCACAATGCGGAGGAGTCACTTCGAATTTAATTCTGAGGCTGGCCATGGGAACCTGCTATGTCACAGGATCCAGAATTCCCACTGTGGGCACTCAATTGTTTTGGATTATACTCTCAATCCAGTTTTTGTGTGTAAAGATTTTGGCATAGATGCCAATATCAGCTCTTAAAACACATCCATCTGCAAAAGACAGGATTCCTTGAAGCGTACCATTGCAGACTGCCACAGCTGCTGAGACTTCCTGCCAGAGAAAAGGAAACTTGGTTATCTTCCTAGAAAGAATAGGGAATAAAAAGGGGGAAATGAAGGCATTGAGAGTGTGATACCTTGCAGGGCTGCCTCCTTCCTGGCACAATGCCAATACACAGCATGCTTTCCTTGATTTCATGGACTTTATAGGCATACTGGCATTCAGCCTTGGAGATTACAGTGATATCCACATTCTGCAGTGTGTCAGGATCCTTTGCTAAAGACAAAAGAGAAGTCACACTTCCTTAAGTGTTCTCTTAAATATCAAGCCTTCTTTCCCTTCCCTCTTACTTTTTTTTCTTTAAATTTATTTCCCTTCCACCATCAGAAAGAAAAAGAGATCAAACACTGATAGAAATTAGAAGTGCGGCAGTGAGGACAAGTTGGGCACAGGAGATTATGAAACAATTTTTCATGGTACAAATGTAAAAGTGGTTAAATTCTTGGAAGTGAGATGAGACATTCTTACAATGAATGAAGCAAGTTGTTTTAAAATATTGTGGGAATTTAAACATTTAAAGGGTGTCCTCTGAGATAGAATTTTTAAAATTTGATGGAATTTATACATATGTAGCTTCGTTTCTCATTTTTCAGGTCAAAACAAAGTTCAATATTTGCATGAAAATATCTCTAAAAGTAATTTTCTTACTTCTGTATGACTGGTAAGTGGTAAAACTATGATTTTAAACTAGGTTTCCTGGTTCCTAATCCAAATTCTTTCTTTTATATCAATGGTCCACAAATACTGTGAATTGTGTACATTCATAACAAAGTTATTTCAATCTCAAACAAAATGAGAACAAGAAGAAAGTAGTATCTATACATATGGTTAAGTGTTCTTGTCAAGGATTCTTCTTCAGAAAAAGTACTATATTTTGAGATTTTGGGTTTTTTTATGAAGATATATATTTACTTTAACATCTTTATTTGAATATAATACATTAAAGTTTGAAAAAAAAGTTTGAGATCTTTTGCTTTATTTTCTAATCCAATGATAATTTTCTGGTTCCACCATTTTTGGGGGTGGGGTGGGGATACTTCTTTAGGGAATGCTTACCTAAACTATGTCATGAGCTAGATCAAAAGAAGCTGTTTTTTTTTTTTTTTTCTGTAACCATATATATATTTTTTGACTCAGGTGTCATAACCCAGATGAATCAAACATACTGCTCGCCAGAAGGACATTTGGCTGTTTCCAAAAATCAAAGTTACTCTTGAAGTACAAATCATTTCTTCTTCTTGATATATTCAGGGAAATGTGTCAAAAGTCTGAAGACATGTAGTAAAGAGCATTGTGAAAAGGATTGAGTAATGGCAACAATGTTAGGGTAAATGTGTAGCTCCCCTTGGCTTCATAAAGAAGAAAAGAGAGGCGGATGAATGAATGTACCCTGGCACACTTGCTTAAAATGAATCTCCTGTCCATGCCATGGTGTCTCGTGTGTGATGTATATACTATATATACTCAGATAAATTTACTCATGAGTAAAGTTTTAATATCATTGTTCTGTTTTGCTTATAGGTAATCAACTCTCCTTGGCCAGGATTCACCATTATCTTAATTAACAGCTATAGACACTTAATTAGGATTACATGAAAATTTTGAGATGGAGTCGAAGGCAGTTAGAAAACAGAAAGATGATTTAACATGCTCAAAGTATTTTCATGTAGTCTGAAGTATGAGACACAGAATAAAGCTTGCATAGGATACCTAGTTTAGTAGTTTCAAATTCTGTATAGAAGACGTCTACTAACAAAAATGATGATAGCCCTCTGTCAATTTTCTAAAGAATTGAGTGAATGTTTATCATGTTATCAGTTAAAATGCTTTTTTCAGAAATATTTTCCTTAAGCTTTTAAGTATGTATCTCTATTACAATCTTTTGCAAGTTAACCCCATCTGATTTAGCACATATTATGCATTTATCTTATGTTTATACATTAATATTTATTTCATGACATTTCAAGGACTGAAGTCACTTAATTACCTGTAACAGTTTGAAAACATCCTAATAATGTTTTGCTTTATTTTATTTTATTTTTTATTTTGAGTGGAAAATTGTGGCTCCAAGGTGAAGTGACTAGCTGTTAGATAGCAAATTAGGGCTAAAATACAAATATCTCCTTTCTTCTAAAATCACTTCTATCATATATGAATATAAAGATGAAATAGAAAGAGTGGGTAAAAAACACTTCAAAGGATTATTTCAATGAGGTACAGGAAAAAGGAAAGAAAAGAAAAAGGATAAAGAGGTAAGAAGAAAAGACTCCGTGATCAGAATTGAAAAAGCCAAGAATAGACAAAGTATAGAAGTGTGTCCAATTCTGACAGAATAATGTCTTGAAGTCTACAGATATCACCTGTATCTTGAACTCACATGAATCACAGACATTAAAGCCCCAGGTAGAGACAGTACATAGGCTTTTCACAGGGGCAGGCTGGTAGGGCAGGTTGACCACTGAAACAAAACTATTAAGTTGAACTTTTCTTGAGAGCTTGATTAACATGATGTCATTATCAATAGAAGTTATGGAGAATCGTGGATGATAAATTATCTTCTCGTAGTCAACTACCTGCACATGGCGTTCACTGGGGTCTGCTGGGATTGTAACCCCCAATATCACAGAAAGCTTCCTGGAAAAATACAGAACATTTGTGAGAATATTTAGTATAGATGGCTTATCCAACCATAGGGGCCTTTGTTAGCCCTTCTCAGACTTTTTGCTCTACCCATGAACAGCCTCCAAAGGCTTTCCTAATCCCATTTAATTGGGAGAAGGTCCCAGGCAGGGATCAGGGTCTATGGCTAATCTGAAAACCCAAAGTCTGAAGTAACTTTGGTGGCTTATCACTCACGGTAAGTTGCAGTGTGCAGCTGTGATCACCCACAGGGGATGAATCAAGGCTCCAGCACAGGGCAAGTACTCAGATCTTAAGAAGACCAAATAGGGGGGAGTAGTGCCAGTCATGTAATCTGGATTAAAGGCCAAAACACCTGAAAAGAGAAGCAAACACAAGAAATTCTGAGATCTTTCAGTCAGTCTTTACTGGGAAAACTAAAGTCAAGTCATTTAATATGGTCTAAGTTTCCCCTGTCCTTTTTTCCACCTTTGTGGAACTAAATCTATAAAATTTGTTTTAAAACATAAAGAAAATGGTAAATGGCAGATACACATCTGTTTCAAAAAGTGAGAAGACATTTGCCTTTTTAATTGTCAATTAATAGTCTTCAAATTAAAATTCAAACTTTTAAAAAAATTTTTGGGTTAATATGAGGATGCATATGATTAGGTTACATTATTTGCATTTGTAAACTACAAGCTGTAGCTGAGTCCTTTACCCAGGAAGTGTTCTTTATACCCCTACCAAACCTTCAAAGAACAGCTCATACATATATTGCAAAACCTATTCCAAATCATTGAGAAGGACTGAACACTCCTTAACTCCTACAAAACAAATATCACCTTGATATCAAAAACAGGACAGACTTAACAAAAAAAGAACACTACAGACCATTAATAAATATTGAGGCAAAATATTTAATAAAATTCTAGCAAATAGAATACAATTACACATTAAAAAAAGTATACATCACAACCAGGTAGACTTCATTGCAGGAATGCAAGGCTGGTTTAACATATGTAAATCCATAAATGTAATTCACCACATGAACAGAAGCAGAAAAAAACACCATATGACCCTCTCAAGAGGCACAGAAAAGGCATTCAAGGACATTCAGTATCCTTTTCTGATTAAATATAAACTTTTAAAAATACCATCCACAATGCAGTGCATTCTATGTTAAATTAATTCTTTTTTCTTTTTTCCAATTGGAGAATGCTTTGACAAATCTTACCTTTTCCCCTTACAATAATGCCAGGCAGAATGATGTCAATGCCATTACAAGAACAGACCAAATGCTAACACAGTCTGGGGGAGGGGGTATCATTCATTCATTCAAGAATAAATGCTGAGCTCTGTCATAGGGACTTGGGCTCTTTAGTGAACAAAACGGACATTTATGCTCTCATGTGGGTGGACATATTCAATAAAAAATAGAATATACAATATCATATGTCAATATTATAATATTTGATGGTGATTACTGCTATGTGGGAAAAAAAGTAGTACTGGAAATGAGGAAATGGTATTACTAGTGTGTGTGTGTGTGTGTGTCCAGGTAACGTGTGTGGCAAGGCCTTGTGTAGTCTTAAATCGGTAGTCAGGGCAAAGCTCACAGGCAACACTAAACAATAACTTGAAGACAGGGAAGTCCAATAGTCAAGTAAATTAAGGGATCCCAGGCAGAAGAAACAGCTGGAGCAAGGGTGCTTTGGTCTGCTGAAGTTACATCACAGAGGCCAGAGTGGTTGACCCAGGGTGAGTAAAAGGGAACAGAGCAAGAAAGAGGGCCAATGAGGTAATGGAGGACAGGCCATTATAAGAACTTGAGCTTGTCTTTGGAATATAATGTGGAAGGATTTCAGGGTTTTCAGCTAAGGGGTGATGACAATTTCCTCATTGAAAACCTGGAGAGTATAGGAATTTATAAGCAGAGGGGCCTATTGGGGGATTCATTTGATAATCTAGGCAAGTGATGATGGCTTAGACCCTCATGAGTAGTGGAGGTGGTGAGACTTCAGCTTATTAGGGATATGTTTAGAATATAAAAGCCAAAAAGGTTTTCCTAAGAGACTGAGTGTGAATGCAAGAGAAAGAAAGAATTTACGAATAATTCCAAGTTTTTTCCTGAGTAACTGGAACATGCCAGGAATTCTCTAACCCCCCAAAACTTGCTGTGCCCTTTGTTGTGAAGAAAATCAATCCTGTTCCAGCCAGGACCAGAGTCAGGTCTCAGCTTTTCTTTAGGAGGGGGCCTGGTATGAGAGTTTCAGTGGCTATAGCTCCCCCACCAACAAAGCATCCACTCATTCCACCCAAAGTGAGGCAGGCAGGCACTGTCATGGGACAAAACTTGGCAGGGACAGTGGCAGTGGCAAAAGACAGAGGACTGACATCTGGAATGGTGCCTCTTGCTCGCCTTCATCCATCTCTAAGGCTTTCCCTGGGATTTCTATTTAGCAAATAAAGAGACAAACATGGAGACACTCACCAGACAGCTTAAAGAAAGTCCAGAGGAGGAGCAACTTCATCTTTTTCTGGGAGTAAGATTCAGCTCAGGATTTCTGGAAAATATGGAAAGGAGCATTGGAAAAGGACTAAATAACACAAATCAAGAAGAGGTTCTGAGGTTGGAAAAAAATGTCCTCCAAATTCTTTCAGTGTCAGGATTCAGCTTTAGGAAAGCTGCCCCTTGGTCAGAGCAGGGGGTAGGGTCAGAGGGACAAGAACAGAGGTTAGGGGATCTGGTCCCTGACACAGTAGAAAATGGTTCAGGCATCCCAAATTCTGACTTCCCTCCATAGGGAAGAAAGCACAGAAACTTAGAGAAATAGAAGTTTACAGTGTCTCCACAAGGTCCTCCCTGGTCTCCTCTTCTTGAGGCCCTGAAGGCAGGTGCCTCTCTGAGCTGTATGTAGGATACTGCCCCTCCTGTCTGTGTGATGCAAACCTTCACTTGTGTGATGCTGATATTTCTTCTGAAGTGGACTTAATCCAGCTCTCTGCCTAACTCTGAACTCCTCTTTGAAAACATTGGTCCTTCCTTTCATGTTACTATACATTCATTTATTCCAACTAATAAATAAATTATGTTATGTGTTTAACTTCTGCCAGGTTCTGTGCTGGCTATGGGGGAATTCTTGAATTTAAGGACTCCATTCCTATCTTCAAAGGGCTTATAGACAGGTGGGAATGATAACTGCTTAAGCCGACAGTTATGGAACAAAGGATTCACAGCTACAAAAATCAAAGTATACTATAGACTAGGTGAAAATATTTGCACTAGACTGTTTATTGCAACTCAATTTACAATCGCCAAAATGTGGAAACAGCCTAAATGTCCACCAACCCAGGAGTGGATTAACAAGCTGCGGTATATATGTACACCATGGCATACTATTCAGCCATTAAAAAAATGGAGCCTTTATATTAATATGGATGGAAGTGGAGCACATTATACTTAGTAAAGCATCACAAGAATGGAGAAGCATGAATCCTATGTACTCGATTTTGATATGAGGGCAACAATAACAATTAATGACATGGTGGGGGTAGGGGAAGGGAAGAACAGAGAGAGAAAGAAGGAGGAAGGGGTGGGGAAAGGAAGAGCAGAGAGAGGGAAGGAAGGAAGGGTGGGGTCTTGGTGTGTGCCACACCTTTGGGGAGCAAGACAGGATTGTAAGAGGGACTTTACCTAACAAATGCAATCAGTGTAATCTGGTTTCTTGTACCCTCAATGAATCCCCAACAATAAATTAAAAATAAATAAATAAAATGTAAAAAAAAAAGAATTTATATACACAGAAATGTTAAAACTCAACAATCAGAAAATGAACAACACAACTTCTAAGTGTGTCAGACACTTGAACTGGTACCTTACCAAATGTTTTATTGGTCTGCTTGGGTTGCCATAATAAACTACCCAGTCTGGGTGGCTTCAACAACAGATGGCTATCATTTGATTCCCCAGTCCCTTTACTAGTGTAAGGACAGATAAAAGTGTTTGGGCTTCCTTGCACCATGGGCATGAGAGGAGATAAAACTATCTGGAATCTCTTGCACAGACTGCCCTCCCCTGGAAAAATGGGATGGTATATAAGACTCTTTGTGCTTTTAGATAACCGTAACTATGTACAATGAAGCTTAGGTTGTAGTTGTTTGCCATGTTGCCACTTTTGTTCCCTTGGGTACAAAGGTGTACAGGACCTTCTACTTGTGTGGATTGTGGGTGGCAGAACATAGGCTTTCCATGTAGCTCAGCTCCCCAGCCACCTGAAGCTGGATAAGGGGACCTACTGCACTGACTCCCCCCTCCGACTCCCTCCTGCTGTGAGCTGAATAGAGAGCTTGACATATCTGCCCTCTACACATCATTTGCACAATACTAGGCATATACTCAAAAGAAAACATTAATTTTACCACAAGGACATTTGCAATAGAATGTTTATCACAGCTTAATTCACAATCGCCAAGATGTGGAAGCAACCAAAGTGTCCATCAACTCAAATGCATAAATAAACTATAGTATCTGTATACCATGAAATACTATTTGGCCATTCAGTGGGAGGGGGAGAGGAGAGGAGGGAGAAGGAAGAAAGGAAGAGGGAGGGATTGGTGTGCTCTCACATACAAATACAACATAAGGATATATGACACATCTCCTGGGTAAAGGGCTCAACTGCAACTTGGACTTTACCTAACAAATGCAAACAATGTGACCTAATTGTTCGTACCCATATATTAATCTGAAATAAACAAAACAAAACAAACAAACGAAACCAACAGGTATTATCTCATGGTTCTGAAGAATGGTATCCATGATCAAAGTGCTGGTAAACTCCGTTTCTGGTGAGAGCTCTCTTCCTGACTTGTGGAAGGCTGCCTTTTTGTGTCTACATGCAGCCCTTCCTCTACACAAAGAGAGAAGGAGAGCTAATTCTCTGGAGTCTCCTTATAAGGACTCTAATCTTATTGGTATAAACTTCCCTCTTAGGACTGCCTTTACAGTATCCCACAGGTTTTGATCATTTGTGTCTTCATTATCATTTTGTTCCAACAATTTAATGATTTCCTTCTTAATCTTATCTTTAACCCAGCTATCACTCAGTCTAAGGCTTTTTAGTTTCCATGACTTTGTTTGAGTATGAAGTTTTTGTTGCTGTTGAGTTCAACTTTTATTCCATGATGGTCTGAGAAGATACAAGAAATAATTTCTATTCTTTTAAATTTGTTGAGATAGACTCGTGTCCTATGATATGATCAATTTTGGAGGATGATTTGTGGGCTGGTGAGGAGAATGTGTATTCAGTTTTATTAGGATGAAATGTTATGTACGTGTCTGTTAAGTCCATTTGTTTTAGGATCAAATTTAATTCCATTATTTATTTGTTTAGTTTTCCTGGAGGATCTATCCAGAACTAACAAAGGGTGTTTAAATTTCCAACTATTATAGTACAGGAAGATATCATATAGGTTTTATCCATTAGTATTTACTTTATAAATTGAGGAGCATTCAGGTAGGGCACATAAATGTTAATTATTGAAATCTCTTCCTGTTGAGTGTTTCCTTTGACAAATATGTAGTGTCATCCTTGTCTTTCCTTATCTTCATTGGTTTAAATCCTATTGTATTTGCAAATAAACTTACAATCTTTGCTTTTCTCAGATTTTTATTTGCCTGTATTATAGATGTTTATCCCTTCACCCTTAGTTGTTTTTATTCTTTGAGGCAAAATGAGTCTCTTGACGGCCACAGATACTTGGCGTGAGTTTTTGTATCCAGTCAGCTAATCTGTACCTCTTTAGAAGACAATTTAAGCCATTCACAGTAATTAAGAGAATTGATAGAAGTAGTGTTTTGGTCATCATATTTTTCACAGGTCCAGTGCATATTTTTAATCCTTTCATACTTGTGGAAGTTAGGTTTTGTTTGATAAGTTCTGGGTGAGTTTACTTTTGTAGAAGACCATTGTGCTGGATCATTATGGAAAATGGGTCTAAGTATTTCCTGAAGATCTCTTTTGGTTGTGGCAAATTTCCTCAACACGTGTATGCCTGTTCTCCATCACAAATGAAACTCCATTTAGCTGGATACAGGACCTTGGGCTGAAAGTTGTTTTGTTTTAGAATATCGAAGGTTTGATGACCGTCATCTTCTAGCCTGAAAAGTTTCAGCTGAAAGATCTGCAGTCATTCTAATATTTGTCCTTCTATAAGTAATGCTTTTCTTCTGTCTGGCTACTTTCAGGATTTCTCCTTTATATTAACTTTGGCAAAGTTAATTACAATGTGTCTAGGAGATGGTTTATTTGAATTGAGTCTTGCTGGGGTTCTGGAACTATCTACTATCTGAATTTCTATATCTCTTGCAATGCTTGTGGGAAATTCTCCTTCATAATATCTTAGAGTAGAGCATCTTTGTCTTTAAGACCATGTGCTTTTCCTTAGGTTGTGTGATCATTTGAAATGATCCCACAATTCTCTCAGAGAATGTTCTGTTCCTGTTTTCCATTTTTCTGCCTCTTTGAATGCTTGGGATCATTCAAAACCTTTGTTTCCAATTACTGAGATCCTTTTTTCTGGCTGCTTAACTCTATTACTGAGGGATTCTACTGTATTTCAAAGCTCCTCGAATAACTTTTTCACTTTCTTGAGCTCTGCTATATCTTTTCTCATTATGTCCACATCCTTGGTGACTTTGTCTTTGAATTCATTAATTTCTTGAGACAACTTTTGAACTACTCTTTCGATTTCTATTTCCATCTTTTTCTCCATTCTGTTCATTTTATTTGCCATTTATATTCTGAATTCTATTTCTGACAATTCAGGCATTTGTCTATGAATGGTATCTTCTGTTGCATCTCCTTTGTCTTTCCTTGGGGACTTGATCTACTCTGATTATTCATGTTGCCAAAGTTCTTCAACTGGTTCTGCTCCATGAGTATTTTCCACAATTTTGCAATTAAAACTGATTTGAGGTCCCTAGGAAGTGGAGTTAACTCGCTTTTCACCAGTGAGCTGGGGCTTGTGATTATGGCTTTTCCCCTACAGCTTTTCAGAGCTGCAGCCAGAAACTATAAGGACCTGCATGGTGTGATAGTGCAAGTTGGCTCTGTCTTGAAGTCAGCCAGCTTCTATCCAATTTTAACAAATTGTGGTAAATCTCAAGATGGAGAGAGAACAAGCAACTGCGGCACCCCACCACACCACACCAGTGACAGTTGAAGGATGAGAGTCACTCCTTTCCCCTTACAAAACAATCACTGCTCAACTTCAGAGGGTCCCTGGGTGGGCAGCCCAGGTTGAAAGTTCTAATCAGATCATCCCAAGCAGTACAATCACTGCTCAACAGGAAGAGTTCATAGGGTCTCCAGAGGCCCAATAGTAGATATCCACAGTAATTCTGTCCTGTATACCTGAGAGGATGGAGTCTGGACCCATCTAGTGAGTCACTGAGTCAGAAAAGATCACCTGCTGTGCACCGTCTCAGGATGTGTCTCTCTTCCATGCATCCTACTCTTCCTGTACCCCCGAGCTTCCACTTGATTTACTTTTTCTATGTTGCTATCCAGCAGCCCACACAATGCCCAAGCCTCTCAGGGAATTTCCAAACACTCTGGACTCTGCAGGGGACAGACCTTCAGACTACCAGGCAAGGGGGGTAGGGGGTGGGAAGGGTGGACTGGGAGTTCAGAATTGCAGGGAAAATATTTGCTTAATATTATACCATGCAGGATGATGCCTAGGCTCACAAGTGGGACCTCCCTGGAGACGGAGGCCTGGTGTTAGTAGCTCTCTCTCGAAGAGAGAGAGGGTACAATGAGAGGTCTTTTGTTCTCTGCTCACTTGCAGAGAGCCCACAGTGTGCCTTCCACTTGGAGGTGGGGTCTCTCTTCCTCTTGATGATGGGCTCTGTGCTTGGAATTTGTTTTCTTGGATTGTCTTTCTTGGGAGTTGTAGCTTGCCTCAGCACAGACAATGTGCACTTGTCTATTTTTTTTCTTAGCTCAGCTTTCCACCTTTGACTTCACTGTGTCCACTTCCATTTAGCAGTCTTCCTCTAGACAGAAGCCTCTGGCAAAAGCTGCCTATAGTCACCATCTTCCTTGATATCCTTAAGTATTTCTTTCAAGGCCCTGTCTCTAAATAGAATCATGTTGGTGTTTAGACTTTCAAAGGTATGAATTTTGGTACAGTGGTGGTGGGGGAGAGCAATTTAGTCTGTAACACCAGGGAAGATAAACAGGTGCAAGTGGCACATGAAAATATTCCCAATATGTCATTAGGGAATTACAGGTAAAACAACAATGAGATAACAACTATACACGTACTTCAATGGCCAAAATCTAAAACACTGACAACAACAGATGCCAGGAAGGGTGTGGAGCCTCAGGAACTGATGCTGGCGAGAATTTGTTTCTGATGGGAGTGCAAAATGGTGCAGTCACTTTCAAAAGTTGTTTGGAAGTTTCTTACAAAGCTGAATATAGCCTTACTGCATGATCCACCAATCACGCTCACTAGTATTTACCCAAATGAGTTGAAAATTTATGTACACAAAAAATCTACACATTAATGTTATAGCAGATTTGTTCATAATTACCATATCTTGGGAGAAACCCAAACGTCCTTCAATAGGCACTCAGATAAACAAAGTATGATGCATCCATATGACGAAATGTTATTCAGAAATTTTAAGATTTAAAAAATTGAGCTATCAGGTGGTGCCTCAGTGAGTAAGTCTCTGGCCCCATATACCAGAGGTGGTGAGTTCAAACCCAGCCCCAGCCAAAAAATAATTAAGCTTTCAAGTTGTGAAAAGTCATGATGAAAACTTAAATACATATTTCTAAGCAGAAAAGGTAGTCTGCAAAGATTGCATACTCTATAATTCCAATTATATGACATTCTGGATAAGATACAACTGCAGAGGCTCGGCACCTGTGGCTCAAGCAGCTAAGGCGCCAGCCACATACACCTGAGCTGGCAGGTTCGAATCCAGTCCAGGCCTGCCAAACAACAATAATGTCTGCAACCAAAAAAATAGCCGGGCGTTGTGGTGGGTGCCTGTAGTACCAGCTACTTGGGAGGCAGAGGCAGGAGAATTGCTTGAGCCCAGGAGTTGGAGATTGCAATAAGCTGTGATGCTATGGCACTCTACCCAGGGTGACAGCTTGAGGCTCTGTCTCAAAAAAACAAAAAACCGAAAACAAACAAACAAAAAAGATACAACTGCAGAGATATGAAAAATATCAGTGATTGTCAGGATTTCAGGAGAAGCAGAGAGGAATGATTAGGTGAAGTCTGGGGGATTTGGGGGGCAGTAAAATTATTTTACTTGATACTGGAATAGTGGACATGCAGCATTATATATTTGTCAAAACACACAAGATTGTATAACATAGAACTATAGTATAAACTGTGGAAATTATTGATAATAACATGTTAATATTTGGTTCATCAGTTGCAGCAAATATTCCACACTACTATTGAAAAGTGCTAGTTTAAAATAAATTCTCCTCCTTCTTCTTCTTCTTCTTTGAGACAGACTCTCAAGTTGTCCCCTTGGGTAAAGTGCCATGGTGTCACCATAGGTCACTACAATGTCCAAGTCTTGGACTCGAGCAATTCTCTTGCCTTCATTTTTCTAGTTTTAGTAGAGATGGGATCTCGTGCTTGCTCAGGCTGGTCTTGACTCATGAGCTCAAGCAATCCAACTGCCTCAGCCTCCCAGAGTGTTAGGATTACAGATGTGTGCCTAAACATCTTCTTAATAATGTTGGAGGAAAAAATGTAAAATTGAGGTAGATGCCTAAGAGTTTAAAATGCTTTTCTGTGTATATTGTGTGGAAGAAAGTGGGGAAGGGAGGTGGGGAGAGAGCTCACATAGTGTAAAAAGAAGATAATAAAATAATCTAAGGAGAGAAAAGAGCTTTGGTTGAAATAGGAAGACACAAAAGGACACAGTGTGTTTGTAAAACTACACCCAAGTACAGGAGAGGAGTTTTAGGAACTAGATAAAAGTTTACTCTAAGACTTGCAGATGTCTTCATTAGGTGGGTAATAAGGAGCAAAAAAAATCTGTTATTTTACAAAAGCCTATTGAGTGTTATGGGGCCAGACCCTAGGCCCTATGCCCTATAGAATCCCTTTTCTTTGAATGTTTGAATATGGGCAGAACTTTGACTTGCTTCTAATTGATGGAGTGTGGCAGAGATAATGTGATGGAGTGTCATCTACATGATTATGCTAATACATAGCCTCTCTCTCTCTCTCTCTCTGTGTGTGTGTGTCTCCCCCACTCCTCTCATTTCTATCGCTATTGCTCTCCTGATAGCATGCACAAAAGGGCTTCTCCCTGCTGGTTTGGTGAGGCAGCAGTCGTATTGAGCAAGCCCTGGTGTTGGTAGCCTCTACAAGCAGTGACAGTCCAAGGACCTGAGAGCAGCTTTCAGCTGATAGCAAGCAAAAAGCTAAGGCCCTCTATCACGTATACATGAGGAAATGAATTCTTCCAACAACCAGAATAAGTGTGGAAAAAAATTCCTTCCTCAGAGCCTTGTTTGACTGTATGGAGAGGACTGTATTAAATTATATCTGGACTCTTGATCAGGGGAAACTGAAATAATGTGTCCTGTGTGAAGTCATTAAATTTATAGTGATGTTTTTACACTGCAATAGAAAACTCACAGAAATGCACACTGCATGCTGAGGATGTGTTAAGAGATACTGATGATCTCATGGTAAGGGAGTTGAGAATCTTGTTCCCATACACCTTAAAGTCTAATGAAGAAGACAGATGTAATGTGAGTTTCCATGATGAATGTCGCAATGTGGGAGATAAAGAAATGCATAGGAGAGCCCCCAACACAAGGGTCAAAAGAAGACCTCCTTCAGCCTTGAAGGATGGGTAGAAGTTAGCCAAAGGGAGAGATGGGGAAGACAGATCTGGGAGGATGAACCAAGGCTCCTAACACAACACAGCATAGGAAAGAGTATGAAGAGAGGGGGAGATGTGAACATGCCAATGGGAGAATCCTACAGAACGGACCTTGGAGAATTGTCAAGTAAAAACTGCCTGCCCAGGAGGAGAGAGGAGGAGGTTTGAAATACCTCCTGTGGAAAACCGGCTTGGATAAGAGGATTGTCAGTAAGTCTGAAGGTATAAATCAAGAATTACAAGAAGTGATCTGTTAAGCACTTTATAAAAAGAACTCTGGCACAAGCAGAGATGTGGTTCATTACGGGGACAAGGAATCAGAGACAAGAAGAAGTGGGGAAATGAGGCTGTGGCTGCAAGAGACCAGCAAATGAGGGGCTTGTGGTATCGACAGGACCACAGATTCCCAGACAAAGAAAGGGTCACACTTGAAGTAAATGGCTTGGGTGTCCAAAAAAAGATAGTTTTTGTGTATGGTCAGAACAAGCTGCAGGTCTTAGCCACAGCAAGTTCTGTTTTTATCTGATTTCTTTTTAAATTTATTTTTGCATCAGGGAAGAGAAAACACATCTAGGCTTAGAGTACATTAATGTCCCCAAACCAGCCCACCTCTGCAGTCTTTACCCTGGATTCACTGCCTCTCCTGTGGACCGAGACCCCAGCCCTCCTCCATCTACCACAGATGGTTTCACCTGTGCTGTGGTTATCTATCTCATCTTACCAGCCCTGTCCATCCGTCTTTGCTTTTGAAACAGAAGCTCCCCACGTTATATTGACCCTCTCATGCATGTTGCCCCATGGTCCCTCATGTGTCATTCAACCCCCCAACTTACGAGTCATTCACTCAGAGGAGTCCTGTTAGCTGTCTTTGTTTTTCAGGGTTATGGTCAGTGGGTGGGGGTTGCTGCACATCTCCATGTGGTATGTACAGCTTTTCCCAATAGCAGACAGCACCTCCCCAAAGCCTGTAGCTAATGTCTATCAGTGTGAGACTCCCAGTTCTTAGTTGGCCCCAGATAGTATCTGAATTCCAGATCCTTGTCCCCAGATGCCTGTTAGATATCCTCACCTCCACGTCCTGCGCAGATCTCAAACACAGTGGGCCACATGTTTCCTCATGACCTTGCATGCAAATGCACTAATTCTCCTCATACTATCTTTAAAATCACCATCTACCCACTTGTCCAAGTCAGAAACTTTGGAGTTATTCCTGACACCTCCCTTTCTTTTCCTTCTCACAAACAGCAGGTCAAAATATTACAGATTTGCCTCCTTAATATCCGTCAATTCAGAAATCTGATGATGTTGTGTTTACAATGAAGGCTTCTATAATAACTCCTCCAATGTCTAAAAGATAAAAATCTGGATTTCTTTGTAGAGCAAACTTTCATACCAAGTTTGGCTGTCTGTGTGAGACTCATTTTTATTACAATCTTTCTCCTTTCTGTATAAATTATTTTCTATAGTCCTACAATGATACTTATTTACATATCTTCTTCAGAACACACCACACTTTTTATATGCCCTTCTTTTATCAGGAAATCATGCCTTCAATTTTACAGTCTCCTGGCCTAATTTGTCTGCTTCTCTGGAGATGCCCTGCCTGACTCCACCACCAAGAGTGTTTTATTTTATGCTCTCATGGAGCTTCTCATTTCCTCTGCTGTAGCAATTGTCATGGGCATTATAACTGGCTGCCTGGTGGCAAAGGCCATGCCATAGTCATTCCTGTGTCCCTAGCAAGTGCAGTGCCTACTAAGTAGCTAGCAGTACAGTATTTTTTTGAAAGAAGAAGTGAACACATAAGTGAGCATGCTGCTAAATTTCTTATCATTTTCAAAGTTTACATTATAAAGAGAGTAGGCATAATGGCATGGGTGCTCAGTGGCTTTGTTTTTATTGGGCTTTCTCTTTGGATTTTGTTGAAGAGGAAGAAAGATAAAGACTGTCGTGGATCCAATGGTGGAGAGATGGCACTGAGGGGAAGGGGGAACAGAGGTGCCTCAGTGGGTGTTTATGATTTTCAGGATCCATCTTGCATAGTTATGGACACTTGTGAAGAACCCTTCACTTCCCAGGGTGACACTTCCTTTTGCCCAGGACAATATTCCATGTAACCTACCATCGCAGATGGCAGGAGCAGCTGAAACTTCCTTTAAGAGAGAGAGAACAGGAGGTCAGGGAGGGTTTGTCCTCATGGAACAAGAGTAAATCCCAAGAAGTGGCACATTATAGTAGCAAAACCACCTAAAGAATGGACCAATTGTTCTTGAGAGGTGATACCTTCTCTTCCTACCTACATAAATCTCATCTCTCTCAGGTCAAGCTTCACCCAGCCTGAGGGCAAGCAGGAATGGCGGATGGTTCTACCTCAAATCTCTCCCACTGTAAAAGTGGGGAAGGGAAACTGATTACAAACCCAGAGATGAGAGGGGAGGAGAGAGGGACTTCAGTGCTTATCTCTCTAGGGAGGACTTTTTGAATGAGTGCCCTTTGGTTCTCCACTGTCACCTCTCTCACCCTGACTTGTGCTGTCTTCTTGTATGGGGAGGGGGTGAGAGATACCTTATTTTTAGAGATGGTGTTTAGAGGTTCTCCTACACACATGATATTCGCTGCCAGGCCATGTTGAAGTCTACTCTGGCAGTCAGCTAATGGAAGAGAATATTGGTTTATCCACGTCAGGATGTCAGGATGACTGACTGTGAGACAGAGAAGACAAAGTCAAGAGTTACTCCTTATCACAAGACCTCTAATGTAAATTAATTTCTGAAGATATTCAATATGTAGCAGCTGACATTTCATCCTTCTTTGGGTTCCTAGTTCAGTAATCTCTACTGAACTTGGAGAAGTAGGTTCATAAGTCCTCTTCCCTCAAGCTTCCCATCAGCAATTCTTTCTGTACCATGAATAATCAATGAAAACTTTGGAAAAACTGTGAGAATATTATGATTAACCACAAGGAGAAAGAGATAGTAACAAAGCCATTGTCCCCAAGAATCACTGCCTCACCTACTTTATCCTCATTACATTTGATACAAAGGCAGAAACTATTTTTAATGTGTATAAATTTGCCTTTTTAATTGAATAGATTATTTATAAATGGGTTATGTGTGTTATAATATATATAAATATACAGTGTGTTTGTAAAATTCATGTTAAATTTACAATATTAAACTATTTTGAATTGCACATGAACTTTATGTCCACCCCATATATTATATACCTAAGTGCCAAAAAATGTGTGTGTATATATATCATAAGAGATGTTAGTTATGTATTATTGATATATATTATATTATGTATATACTTTGAGCACCTTTTGTAATTGCAGAAGTCAAACATGACTTAATATTCATATTTTGTCATTGGTTTATATTATTACAATTTTAATATAGTTTTTTTTCCTTTCTTAAAATGTATATATATATTTTGGAACCCCCTGTTATTATTTTTCCCCCAGCAGGTCATATTGCTCACCTCTATCATAGCAATTGTTATCATACTGTCAAGCAGAATGATAACACGAATAGCAGAATGTTAGCAGGAACTCTAACCAAGGCATTATGTAATTTTAATCTAGAGTAGTGAGGAGGAAGAAAACAAAATTTGACTAGAGATTACTCGAGTTGTTTAAATACATGTAACAAGATAGCCTAAAGTAACTTGAGTTACTTGAAAAAATAAATTTTTGATAAATACTGGGAGCCCTGCCCCAGAGAGCTTATAGAGGTATAGGTTGTCACTAAGATTCTAACATACCGAGCCCTACAACAAAACCTTTGTAGCTTCATTTTGTTTTCAAAAAGTATGTAATAAATTACTTTTGTAAAGTGTATAAGGCAATTACTTTGCATAAGACTTATAAAGTCAAGGACAAAACTCATACAAGCACGTTCAGAAAACATTCACCTAGATTTCCAAGTACTTTGGTTCTAAACTGAAATATGGAGTAAAATATAGAATATAAAGTGTAGAATGTAAACATGTGTGCTTTTAATCTCTGCTTTCACCAAACAGAGGCTTTATTTTAAAGTTTCCATTTTTAAATTTGCTTTTATAGAATGGATTATTCTATTCCCACCAGAGAAGGATTAAAACCTGATCTATGGACACAGGACAAAGTGCCTGGGTGAACACCGCTTTTGCAAGCCAATCAATCAGCATCAGCTGTCAGTTCTTAAAATCAGTCAATCAGAGACAGATTTTCTACAAACACAGCTCGGAGTGCCAACTAAGCAACAACAATCTCACTGGATATTTGAATAGATCCATCCCGTGTCTTTACAGATGATGTAACCCACTTATACCTCTTCAAGTCCTCCAGTCCCTCACCTCCAGTTTCCTGCAACACACACATACTAGTCAGCACTCTGCTCTGCCCTGCCAGACTATGGCTGCTCAGCATTTCTCTACATATAGCCTTGTATAATAAGCAATGGCTTTATCATTTTATTTCAGATATCAAGTGGTATCCTCAGCCTTTGGCATTACTGAGAGAACATAATGGTTATTAACAGCCATATGAAGTAACAGCCAACGGGAACAAAAAAAAAAGAATCAGAAATCAACTCTATTCATAAAGTTTAATAAAACTTTGATAAAACTCAGAGACCAAATCTCTGTGATCATCTCAATGACAGTTCACAGAGGATAAGGTTGCGTGCCTACAACATGGACTGTAACTATTTTCCCCATGAGAGATGTCCGGCCAAAGAGATGCCAACAGTATGTTGCAATAATCAATTCCCCCATGAACCAGTCAAGTTTCCTCCTTAACATGGGAACTCTCAGAGGTAGCAGCAGAATGAGAAGCCCTCTCTGTTCATACTATTAAGGGGATGGGTAGCTCACTCAACTGCCTCCTCTGGTGACAGGAGAGATAGCTCACTCAACTATCCTCTTGTTTCCTAAGGTCCACTAGAATAAATGGATCATCATGTCTGCACACAGGTTGGGTTCTCTGTGTTAGGAATGAGAAGCCTCCTCTGTTATCTCACCATTTCATGTTTTGTTTTATTCCCACCTTTTTTTTTTTATCAATTGCATACTTGGCATTCAACCACTGTTATTGAGTAGGCTACTCTCATTCATGGTTCCTTGACACTTCCTTTGTGCTTGAGGACTCCTATTTTTCCCCCTTTATTTCAGTTCGGTTTCCTGGACTCTGGTCTTAAATATTCCAGAGATACAACAATTTCAGGCTGCTTCATTTGATGGTGTTCTATTGACTGCCCTGTATCATTCCCTTTGAATTTTGTCTTTGACCTCCAGTCATGGTACTAGAAGGTCAAGCAGTGATCCCGCTAAGATCAAGAATATCAACCTCATAAGCAGCTATTCTGTCGAGTTTATACCACCACATTTTCCCCAAGCTCTAACATTCTTGGGAGAAAGAGGTCACAAACACTTACGGTTTTTATATTCATTCCAGGTCCAGGTTGGGATAAAGCAGGAGTCATTAAATACTATGGGCTCCAAGGCTATGGCAATGGTTCCCACATGTGAGTTGAGTGGTGCAGGGTTTGACAGTTTGATCATCATCAGGTCATTTTCCAGAGTTTGTGCATCAAAGCCAGGGTAGGGCAGAGTCAATGAGTAATTTCGTAAATGTTCCTTTTTATTTTTGGTGCTGGGTTGATAAACTCCTAGTCGGATTTTAACACTTTGAAAGAAAAAGGGCAGAGAAATGATAAAGAAGGGGATGGTTGAATGTCAAACTATAAGAACTGTCCCAGGCCACCTTCTCCAATCATCTTAATTTTATTTCTTAACCTGAGAACTAAAGTGTCCCACTCTTGTCCGTAAAATAATAAGAGTTTACCAGGTTGTGGTATTAGAGGCACACCTTGGTAAAACCTGACATGGTGTCTGGCGCCTAAAACACACCAGTGGAGTCTAGTTATTATTAACAATCAGATCATCTGAACTAGCCGGTAATAGAGATGGCTCTGCAATCTGCTATTCCAGAGCTCTTGTCTATACCACACTATCTAGTGATTCCTAAGCAAGCTGGTAGGACCCACGGTTTCTGAGCATCCTTAGGTCTGTCACAGCTCTTCTTAGGTCCATAGAATTTGCACTTGCCATGTGTTGCCTACATTGATCTTAGGCTTGAAAGGCTATTAATCATTTGTCAGGACTCGCAGTGTCATTTAGCATTATATTCCCTGGGCAAATTGATACCTAGTCAGCTCCATTGCCAGGAGTCTAGTCATTCAGCCCTTCAAGAGCTATTTCTTGCCAAAAGCAGTTCATGTGTTTGATGTGGATGAGAGCAAGAATATCTGATTTTCTCACTCCTACTGCAAGAGGATGACTTGAACCATCTTTATTTCCCACGTATGTACATATTCCCCATATTGCATAGAGCAGAGGTTCAATCTATGTTGAACTGAACTGCTTTGAACAACCAGGTGGCTCACAGGTCCAAGTTTGATATAACCCTTGTATACTGCTTAAACTCTCAGTGGGTCTTAATCACACAACACATTCTCCCACAGCAGAAAGATCTGCAAGGGACAGCTCTGTTTATAAAGTACCTCGTCATCCCTCTACTGTAACCTGCGGGACATGGTTTTTACCCAACTAGTCAACTTCTTCCTATAATCATCCCCTATTCACTATACTCAGCCAATGCTGATCTTCCAATTTTCCAAAAACCCTAAAACCTTTACTACTTCAGGGACCATATGAACATTGTTCCCTGGACCTGGTGTGTCCCCCAGGCTTCATCACATGGCTGTCTCTTTCTCTTCCTCTCACCTCTTCGAGGATGGACCTAACCACCATCACTAAAGCAGATCTCTTGCCCCATTCCCACGTATTACGGCTTGACATTCTTTTTGTGCTTTACTTTTGGTCATTTGTTTTGGCTTACTCCTTCCACCAGAATGTAAGCTCCACGAGGAAAAACACATTTCCACCTTGTCTCCCACTGTTTTTTCAGTTGTATTAAATAGCCCTGACTGTATAGTAAGAGTTTAGCAAATACACATTGGCAAATGAATACTAGATACTCTCCATGACAGATACTTCTGCCACCTTCCTATTGATCTCCTCTTAAACTACCCAAAGGTATGTTCTATTCTCCATTTGGAAGAAGATTCTCCTTCTTCCTGGGCCTCCTGAATCCATTAAAACTTGTGGGATGCCACGCTAGACCCACTTTCATTTGTCTAGATCCATCCCAGCTCTCAAGAGCAAAGCGATGCTTACGGTAAGGAGCAGTGAGCAGCCGTCAATACCCACTCAGGGTGAATGAGAGACCCCACACAGGGTTCTGGCTTGGAATCCAGGTAGACCAGGTAAGGAATAGTATAACCTTCTAAGGAGTTCAATTTCTCCTTGGAAACATTGTGCTGAACAGTTCCTGAAAAATCAAGGGGGCAGTGATGGAAAGACAAAGAAATTAAGAGGCTAGTACTAGTCAGAGTAGCTTTCTTTAACCTAAGGTTTTCAAAGATAATATCAGGGTCCAACTTATTATTAATATTTTTTAAAACGTGAGGAGATCATGCATATCACCTAATCTATACACATAAAGAGAACTGATGTGACTCGGCGCCTGTAGCACAGTGGTTATGGCGCCAGCCATATATACTGAGCTACTTGGGAGGCTGAGGCAAGAGAATCATTTGGGCTCGAGAGTTTGAGGTTGCAGTGAGCTGTGACACTACAGCACTCTACCAAGGGCAAAATAGTGAGACTCTGTCTCAAAAAAAAAAAAAAAAAAAAGAGAAGTGATGTTTGTCCTTACTGAGATAGAATTACAGTGAAGTTCTGTGAAACTGTGTTTAGAGATGGGCTCATCTCATAGTGATCAAAAACTCTTACTGGCAGTTCTACATGTTACAAAAATGAAAAAATATAAAGGATTATTAAAAAAATTCTTTTTTAAAAAATGAACTTTGGCCAAGAATGGGGTTGAAAAATTAAATACCTGACTTTGATGGTATAAAGAATGGAAAAGCGTAGGGCTTCCCGAGCCCTGACCCAGCCCACCCTCCTTTCCTGTGTTTAAACACCCTTCCTGTCCACCTCCTTAGTGTGGCTGCCACTTTTTTCCCAACCCTTCAAGCGCTACCCTGGTTCTCGCCCCAGGCAGAAACCCCAGACTCTCACCCACTGTGCTCATGAGAGCAAGGATGAGACAGCACTTCATTGCAGGCTGTGACATCTCCATGCACAGACAAGTTGGTCCAGCTGTAAACTGACCCAATCTTTAGTCCAAGTGTCCTTGACAAGATCAGCTGTGGAAGAACCACTAATTGTGGAGTGAAGAGAGACACACGTATCTTAGAGGAGTCTTCAAATTAGTCCTTAATCAAGATCCAATTATTTGAGACATCAGTGGTGTCTATGTCTGATGTGAGTGAAAGAGAAGGAACAGACCAAGCCAAGGTCCTGGTGCCTCCTCTCCTGTCCTATGAATCTCCCCAGGAGTCAGCACATACCAGCTGATATTTCCCTCCCCTCTGTGACATAGCCTTTCTTTGTTGTCTCCTCCTCCCTCTGTGACTTAAACCCTTCTCCTGCCCTCCCCTGCCATCTGCCTCTGCTATTCCCAGAGACTTACAGATCACTGGGGTATTAAATGCAGTTAGTAAATCTTGTTTTTTCTTTTTCTTTCATTCTGTTCATTTTGATAGTAAGAAAGTTGTAGTCCTCTTGGAAGTTAGCATCAAAGTCAACACTCAGAACTGAGTGTCCAGATTCTCTGTAACAAGGTTGAACCCCTGTGCTTCCAGGAAAGAGCTATAGTTAAGAAATTCCACCATCATTTTGTGTTCTGGAAAAAGAATTACCACAGGGAACCACAGTTCCAGTATGATGTAGATAGAACTCTGTCCACTCTTGTTTACTGGTGACGGGTTGAACACACACCTTTCCCCTTTTGTCTGCACCTACTGATAAAGCCAGACATGGACCCTCCAACTCCCCATTCTTTATTTCATGAATGACTAGACCTAGAATGGTTAGTTTCCTTGAGACTAGCTACACTCAAAAATAAACATTTCCTATTTAACCAGCTAACTAAAACTTCCCCCAATAGCAAAATAACTCCAACTGTAAATCTCTCCACCTACAACTTTGAGTCTAGGGAAAATCCACCCTGTCAAAATACTCTATAAATTTTCAGCCCATCTGAATTAAAACTGACTTCTTCCTAGTTTGGTTTTTGTCTTTTGCACCTTTTACTCTTTCTAAATATACCACATTCCTTTTATAAGTTAACCTTACATTTTAACTTCCTGACTTTCACCCTTATATAACAAGTTTATAGTTGGAAAACAAAAAAGATCGTGGAGAAAAGGAACATACAGATAGGCAAAACCCTGGAAAATATAGGTTTTTAAATATTTCTGCACCTAAAAGTTTTCCCTATCTAGTCCCATGATTTCACATGGATTAAAGAAAAAGGCAGGAAGAACAGCAGTAGTGCACTGGAAATAGGACACTTCAGGTTTCATTTCTGTTTTATTAGGAACTAGTTGAATGACTTTGGGCAATTGACTTTGACCTTTCTATTTTTTAGTGTCATTATCTGTCATAGCCTATGGATGCATGGTCTATCAGAAAAATGCATAAAATTTATATTATAGCCAAATCTTACAACAAAATTTATATGAAATATTAATAAAACACCCGATAATTATTTTATTTTAAAAAATGAGATGATAACAGTGACCACAAACCTTGTTTCCTTTTCCATCTCAATATGTCACAGAGTCTGGAATGTAGTAGGTGATCAGTGAATTTATGTTGAGTTTGATTAAATGACTAAAATCCTTTCAAATTTTCTCAAGAGAACTGTAGAATTCTATGTCCACGTTCTCATTTGGCAGCTAGTTTTAAGAGAAAGTTTGCCAATGCTGAGCAGTTGGATGAATGTGGTATAGGGCAAATCTTTTTATTTAGAAGCTGTTTCCAGGCACAGAAAGAAGGTGAAGTTTATTAACAAGACATGGTACATGAAGACATAATTGTGTCTAGTTGGCAGCGATGGTCTGCTGAATCCATTGCACGTAGTTGCAGACCTTGGTGTAGACGCCAGGTCTGCCTTTCAGAGCACAGCCATAGCCCCAGGAGACGATGCCCTGGAGTTGTCCATTGCAGACCACAGGGCCACCAGAGTCACCCTGAGCAAGAGGGAAGAGACCATCAGAACTCCTAATTATGACTAGGTGGGAGAATGGGGTGCAAGATGTCCCTCCATTGTGCTGGGGCCATTTTCCCAGGCTGATTATCCTCCATGAAGCACTTTCTCTTTTCTTGGAAATTCAGCCTTCACTCTACTTACAGTGCTCCTAATCTTTCTCCTCTCTCCTCCAGCCTCCAGTAGGCCAGTTAAGCCAAGGAGAGGTGAGGATGGGAGAGCTTTAATGCTGCCCAACACCTCTGCCCTTTCTACTAGGTTTCCTTCCACAATTTACCTCCAAAGAAGGCAACTTGATGTTCTGTCTGCACACCATCCTCTGTGTGCCTTTTTATTCTTTACCCTAGCTGTGAAAATCACAGAAATAAAACGTATAATTTGTCCTAAAGCAATCCTTCACCCCTCATCATAAATCTCAGGGACAGTATTACAACTTGTCTCTGTTAGGAAAGAGGAACTGTGATGGAAAAGAATGCAACTGAGCTGGATGGAGAAGGAGGAGCTCAAAGATACTGACCTGGCAAGAGTCCTTTCCACCCTCCAGGAAGCCAAGGCAGACCATGTTGCTGGTAATTTTGCCTGGGTAGGCGTTGCGGCAGGCAGTGTCAGAGAGGACGGGAGCCTTCAGACACTGCAGGAGATCAGGGTAGTTGACTGTGGAGTGCAAGAATGAACATGGAAGATTACCAACAGTGTTCCCGGAAATTCATTTCTCAATATCTTCGTCTTCTTTCCCAGGACTCCCACTTTTTCTTGAAATTTGCCAATGATTTTTAGTTTTAGAGAGCAACATTTTTCTGGAATGTTTTCCAAATAGTTCTAATCAATGAGTGATTTCAAATCTTAACATCTAGCATCAGTGATTTCAAATCTTAACATCTAGAGCAGTTATTTTCAACTGATGTGGCACAGCACACTGGTGTGCTGTGAGAGGATCTTAGGTGTGCCATGAAAAATTTTAAAAATCATTAAGTTATTTTTGAAAGAAGTTAAAAGTACTGTAAGTATATTCTTTTTTTTAACTTTTTTTTTTTTATCAACATGATTTAAATGTGCCATGGAAGTTTAACTATAGGTTCAAGTGTGCTGTGAGATAAAAAAGTTGAAAAATCATGATATTGACATGATTTGCCAAGTGGCTATATGCTTCGGGCAGCACCAAATCCCTTAGCCTCTGCTCTGTTTACCTCCTTGGTTCCTAGTTCTATGCACATCACTAATTACACTTTAGTTAAATACCTTGATGTCTTTGTAATAGTTCATTAATTTTGTGTCTTCTGCACGGCCCCAGCAAGGGAATCTTCTTTTCAATTCATATATTCTAAGACTCCCTGTATCCCAACATCATCCTCAGGAACTGATACCTTGAGTGAGAATTTGGACCAACTGCCCCTTGATGTGCCTTTGGCCTCCAATTTCCTCAAACTTGGTACTTCTGTTCCAGATGACACTTACCACCACTGCTGAGAGTGTTGCCCCAGCCAGAGATGAGGCACTGAGTACCAGCAGCTGCACAAGATTTTGGCAGAGCGATTGTGGACACTCGAGAGTTGATCTTGGCTTTTGAACTCAGCTTAATTAGCATGATGTCATTATCCATGGTGGCTGAATTGTATCCAGGGTGGGTGATGATCTTGGCAGCATTAATGAACTGCTCATTTCCCTCAAGAACTTCTATGTTGTGTTCTCCCAGACGCACCTGGATTCGGCTGGATTAAAGGATAAGCATTCTCTCAGTATCAAATTTGAGCTTCTTCCCTTTCTCCAGACTCCTCACTCATGAGCATAAACACAGATACCACCCTCTTCAAGCATTCTCACAGTTCATTGAGCAGTTGAGGTAGCATTGTGTACTGTCACACGTCGTGTAGGGCAGATATCCCTTAGGTAAATGTAACTACAAGTACAGACTCATAGCCTGCCATCTTGTTAGAATAGTAAAGAATAGGATCCCAATAAAATAGTTGGAGATGCAAAAGGAATTGGTAGAGATTTATCATTTTCCACTGGTTGGGATCACCAATTATCATAGGGAGGGGAGGCAGGAGTCAGAGAACTGGCAGAATATTAGGGGAGCAGAATGAGTCATGGTTAATTTTTATGTTACATAGGAAATTTTATGTATTTCATTACTTTCATCGGCCATTTTTTCTGACTGAGCTATAATGATTAGGATTAGGATTATGTTCTAATTCATGTCTTAAGCTATTTCTCCAGATACTTTGTTACTATTTGCTTCCCATGACTTTAGTATCAGCTTTTGGGAAGACACCAGGAAACTCTAACAGGTAGGTACCTCTCCATACAAAAGTCCCTTAGTACATTATACAGTGCATGAGAGCGAGAATAAACTGTCTTCTAAAATCTGAATCCCTCGAACATAACTCTGTCCTTTACCTTGATTGTGCTTTGGCAGAACTAGAGGATAGGTTGGACTTAGAACATAGGAAAATGAATATTAGTCACTTACGATTTGTAGCAGTGAGCTGCAGATACCACCCACTGGTCACTGATGAGGGAGCCACCGCAGAAATGGTAGCCAGAGTTCAGGGACACCTGATAGGGGACGGAATTCTCCTGACAAGTGTATCCTCCAACGATCTTGTCGTCATCATCGTTGGTGGGAAAAGCAACTGATAAGAAAAATTTAGTAACTATTTGTGAATCAGATCCATTTTGTAATTTCTACACCACCATGAAGTTTTCTCAGATTAGCCAGAAAAGAGAAGATGGGGTTTTCTTGTCTCACATAATTAGGAAATGGTGGTTTTAGGTAATTTTGGAGAAAAATGTATTATTGTATGCCTTTAACATGTACTCCATCTATGCTATTATCCATATCTATTGCTTCATTTATGCTTTAAATTTTATAAGCACATTGTTTTCAATGTACCATTAAGATAGACCATCCCTCCCACACACAAAGATCAGAGACTCTTTATACAATAAATGCCCTGAGGACCACTGCCTGAGGATATAAAGAATAATTGTTACACAGAACTCTGCTCAGCAGTTAGGTGCAAAGATTTTCAGAAATGGTGCTGACTGGATGGTGCTTGTGGCTCAAAGGGGTAGGGCGCCAGCCCCATATGCCAGAGGTGGTGGGTTCAAACCCAGCCTCAGCAAAAAAACTGCAAAAAAAAAAAAAAAATGGTGCTGATTTTTGCCATGGTTGGTGGAACACTGGTACGGAACAGATACCCCTATGAGGTAACAGAGTTACTAATTCTGAGTTAATACTGATTTATCTTCTATCTGTCACAGAATTGAATTCTTTTAGAAGAAGTTTTTAGAAGCCACCTGAGACTGTTCTGGCCTGAAAGGCAATGAGTAATATTATCTTTTTGCTCTCCCAATTTCTTTCCTTGGTTCCAGCCTAAATTTTTTTAAACATTTAGAACATTGTAAGATTTCCCTTTCCAACCTTTCCTTTTACCCCAATTATATTTCTAACATTTATCACTTTATTCAGCACTGTGAAGTCTCTCCCACTGATTTATTAAGATTTCTTGCAGTTCCAAAAGTTTGTGGCTTTTGCAGCAAAGTTTGTGGCTTTTGGGGAGAATTTGTTCAAAAATTTTGAAATTATTTTAGGAAACAATTTTTTAGATGTGTAGGCAACTGTATTGAAGTCATAACTGCCCAATTTGGGAAAATTTAGTATTAAGTTTTAGCAGTATGAAATTTAGAGTAAAAAAGTAGAAATAGTCACTCATTTTTCTTCATGATGGAATGATATATTTCTTTCTACCATGGAGATTTCATTGTTTTTTTCTTTTATTCATGAGAAATGAAATATCTTTGTGTGCTAAGACTCCCTGGTTCTAAATCACTTGGCCTTTAGTATAGAGACTCAGGCTGTGATGCTGACAGCCTCTTCCGGGGGCCCAATATTCGTTCCATTTACTAAGTCCAAATTCTTAGAACGGTCAAGAGAAGCACTTCCATAATGTGGACTATCCTTTGCTTTTCTCTCCTTTTCTCAAAATCTACCCAGAAGTTGAGAGCAAGTTCTGATTCTTTGTGTCTTCCACCCTGATCATTCCTGCTCATTGTGGTTTTCCTTCAAGAGTGATATTTAATTAATAAACATAAGTGCTATACAGTGTTGTTCAACATTTTAAACTTCTCAAGGACAGAGACCAGCTTCAGCTTTCATTGCTGTCTTCCAAAGTACAAAGTGCAAACTTAACTAGATTATAGACATCTGATGATTCCCTCATTGAAAGACTCACCCGCAATTCCCAGGAAAGCAAGGAAGATGAAGGTCTTCATGGCTGCTCACCACGTCTGGACTGGGGAGTGGGATGAAGGCTTTGCATACACAGGTATTTATAGTTCCAGATTTGTCACTGGCACCCATGGCCACAGGTGCCCAAAATTGATTTCACTGCAAACTCACAAATCTAAATTTAGAATTCAATTTTGTAACAGGTTTCAGAAGATAACTCAGTATTAAACTTAAACATTTGCTCACTTTCCAGAAGGTTATGGGAATGGAAGTTACACACTCACCTGGTGGGAACTGTTCCCTATAACAGGAAAGTAAGGTGGAGTGAGGTCACAGGGTAGAGCAGGTGCCCTGATTCCCAGACAAAAGTATTAGGTACTTGGTTGTCTCACCTGTGAACTTTTATCCAAAGGACTATTTTTGTTCCCTGAACCCTCATTATTTAATTGACATAGGCTCTTTCATAATTATAAACTTTTTCTTATGATAGCAGTGATCTTTTATATCCACATTAATTTTTTTATTAACAAGAACAACTATTTCCCTGAGAAGAGGAAAACTGTTCTTCATTGAAATTATAACAGGTACAAAGAGAGAACTAAAAGAATGGTAAGTTATATTTATTTAAAGCTTACTGTGCATCAGGGATTTTCTAAGTATTTTGCTCATATTAATTTAGTAATCTTCACAACTACCAACCAGATACCTATTATAATCCCCATATTACCTATAGGAAAGCCAAGCACACAAAACTATAGGGAGTGGACCAAAATCTCACAGTAAGAACATAGTAGAATCAGGATTCCAACCCAGGAAATCTGGCTTTAGAGTCAGAAAGCTGATTTATTAAGATTTCTTGCAACTCCAAAAGTTTGTAACTATCTTATATCGAGCCTTGCTTCAAAGGCTACCTCTGAAGAAAATACTTTCCTGTTACTGTGCAACACTCCCCCAGTCAGTTGACCACAATCTGGATACAAAGATAACACAGAATTCGTGGCCACTGAGAACACAACTGAAACGGATAGAGTGCTCACCCTGTGTCAGGCACCAGAAGGGGCTCACATGCATCTCCTCACCTGGTCCTCCCACACAGCACCGTAAACCTTGTGCCACAATTTTCACCATTTGAGAAATGTGCAGGAGGGAACTTTGCAAAGTCAAGCGTTTTTCTCAAGGTTTCGTTCCTATTAAGTGATTGATCCAGGGTTCAAACTCAAGCAGCCTCACTTCAGGGTCACGATCTCAATTGTGCTGCTGCAAACCTATTTAGGAAGAGCAGCCTGAAGTCCACCAAAGTAAGGGCTAACTCGAAGGAGTATTCAGAATCCTGGAAAATGCAAGAAATGGGTTCCTGGAGCAAGATTGTCAGAATTAATGGGACAAGACAAAAGTGTCAGGAGTGAATGAATCTCAATGAGAATAGCCCTAGCTGGATATGGTCAGAGCCCACACCTAAACAGCGAATCGGAAATAGTCTTCCAGGAGGTTATTTCCATGTAAGAGAATGATTGCTCCTGATTTTCTCTTTCTTTTACATTTGAAATCTTCCTGCTATCAGCTAACTTACTCAAAGGCAGAGTTTCTCAACCTTGGCACTGTTGACATTTTGAGCCAGAGAATTCTTTCCTTTTTTAATTTATTTGTTATTTCAAATTAGTATGAGGGTAAAAAATTTAAGGTTACATTGTTCTCACTTCCAGGGCAAAGTTCCGTTTGTAAGAGCCCCTCACCCAGGAGATGTGTTACACCATCTCCCAGTGTGCACATTAGGGGAGATCCCGCCTCATCCCCCTCCTTCTGCCAGTTGTCTTCCCTCCTTCCTTCCCCCCGCTTCCCTCTACCCCTAAACTGGACTATATGAGTGCTTTATTGTTCTTATGAACATGTAATTGTTTATATATTGATTTCATATTAGTGTGGAGATAATTCTTTCTTGTGGGTAACTGCCCTGTGCTTTGTCACAGTGACAAATGCCCCTAGGAAGAAAAGCCAGGGCCAGTTGAGAACCACAGCTCTAAGGGGGAAAGAAGGGCAAAGGGGTTTTACTTCTGAAGCTGTTGCCTACAGAAGGTGCCTTGAGATTTGGAGCAACATAAGCGCTCCATGACTACTGAGTGAATGCCAGTGAGTGGCACTGCTCCATGATCCATTAAAGGGAGCTGCCTGGAACGTATCCCTTACAATTAGGACACATTCAAGATTAAGGAGCAGGGCAGTGGCTGAAGTGAGGAAGGTGAGTCTTTGCCGCCTATTCAATGCCTTCCATTGCTGACACCTCCATCTGAGAGATACGAGAAGGTGCATGATTATAAATCACCCCTGCAGCTTTCCCAGAGCCTCGTCTGAGACCTGGGCCCATATGAAAATGTAGTGTCTCAGAGCAGAACGTTTCATGATTGTCTCATGGACTGCTATGCCCTAGAGACTGCCTCTGGTATACCTGGGACCCTGTCACATGGATTCCTTCCAGGAGGGAAAGAGTGGGGGCTGATAGATGGGGGAAAGGGATGGAGTGGTTTTCTGGGATCAAGTTCAATTCCCTCCCTAAAAACCCTGACAAAGGAAGGTGGTCATGTCTGGCTGGTGTGATAGCTCTCCAGTAGTGGACACACGGGGGAAACTGCCAAGTGATGGTTTCCAGACTTCATTGATTTCCCTTCCATTCACATTTTTCTTCAAGTAAACCATTTACATTTTTATTTTAAATAGACTTCTTTTCCTTAGTCTTTCCTTAAGCATTAACATTGATACCTCATGTGCTAGTAACATCAATACACGCTTTTCAAACAAAAATCATCATCTGAGGCCTACCTAAAATCATGTTGAAAGCTACTCCTGATGCAGATAGTACGCCGTGGGAAACATGGTGTTAGGCAGGTGGTTGGAAAATGAGAGTGGGGAAAGGGGCATGTTTGGCACTGACGCCCAGGGGCGAACAAACCTGAAACAGCTATTCTTGCATTGTGTGGAAGCGTGGACCTATAAGGCACACTGCACTTCTGAGACACTGTGAGTCATTCTTTAATGCTTGACACTGGGAATTTAGATTGCAAATTCTTAGACTCAATGAAGTATTCTTTTATTTTTGTTTTGAAACAGAATCTCACTGTGTTGCCCTAGATAGAGTGCTGTCGCATCACAGCTCACACTAACCTCAAACTCTTGGGTTTAAGAGATTCTCTTGCCTCAGTCTCTCAGGTAGCTGGGACTACAGGTGCCTGCCACACACTCACTATTTTTTTGTTGCAGTTGTCATGGTTGTTCAGCTGGCCCCGGCCGGGTTCAAACCTGCCAGCCTCTGTGCATGTGGCCGGCGCCTGAACCACTGTGCTACAACCGCCGAACCATTAATGAAATATTCTTGTCAGCATTTCATGTATGTAACCATGGTTCTCACTTACAACCAACACAGAACCTATGACAGTGTCTGCGGTCTCCTTCCTGAGCTTCTTCTCATAGTAGGATCTGTGAACTATGACAAGTGCCCGTATTCCTTTTGCCCAGGAGAGGTAGTTGGTACCTATACTTTTTTCCCCAATTGCAAATGCACAGGAGCCCACAAGCAGGTGTCTATATTTAATCAGTCTGTATTTTTTACCTGTCTTTCCCATGCACGTGGCTTAATGGCCTTGGAAGAGTATTTAAGCCTGTGCCTACACTGCAGCTGATTGGGTTCCAGAAACTGTATTAACATTTACATTGGCAGGAAGCAAAGGCCCCAGCCCCTCACAGCAGTTTCACCGTCTTTTCTTTCACATGGCCTCTGTTTTTCTTTTTCCTTGGCTTCTTCGGCCACTACCCTAGTTATCACATCACTGGTTACTGGAGCTATTCTGGTTAAATAGAATAACCACTCCAATGTGTAGGGAGAGTTTTAAATAAGACTTCTTTCCTCAAAAAAAATGTACTAAGGAATACTAACAAAGAAAATGACACGAACGATTAGGGTAACAGAAGTATCAAAGGGAACAGGACCAAAGTATGTGCTTGTGAAATAAACTTGATGCCAACCTGAGCATCTATGTTAAGATGAATTTTCAATATTGGCAGCTCATAGAAAATTAGTGTTAGTAAATAATATGTTCTTTCTTGGAAAAGTGACCACTAGAACTAGGCATGAGTTTCCTTGAGAACCCTGCCCAAGAGTAGAATTAGTTTGGAGGCATTTCTACCCTTGCTACTTGTGATTCATAAAACTGTTTGCAGCCGTCAGAAAATTCTTTCAATTAGGGGAACAAACAGTAGGTGTTTTAGGCTTTGTAGACAATGTGTCTCCATCACAACTATTCTGCTGTGTGCCATGACAGCAGTCCTAAACAGTATGTAAATGCATGAGTATCTTTTGGGGGGCAAGACAGGATTGTAAGAGGGACTTTACCTGACAAATGCAATCAGTGAAACCTGGTTTCTTGTACCCTCAATGAATCCCCAACAATAAATTTAAAAAGAAAGAAAGAAAGAAAGAAAGAAAGAAAGAGAGAGAGAGAGAGAGAGAGAGAGAGAGAGAGAGAGAAAGAAAGAAAGAAAGAAAGAAAGAAAGAAAGAAAGAAAGAAAGAAAGAAAAGAAAATGCATGAGTGTGGCCATGTTCACACGTGAAACTTCATCTCCTAAAATAGACTGCTGGCCAGATGTTTCCTCCAGGCCATAGTTGGTCAGCCCTGTTCTAGAAGATAGGGAACAAACCATTTAAATATCCCATATCCAGAATGAAAGTCAAGCACCCATGGACAGAGGGAAGCTGAGGTCAATTTGAAAGGCTAGGGATTGGTGAAGGCAATGGAATTGGGATTCAGATCACAAGAAGAGGGTCATAAAGACAGAATTCCCTCCTTGTGCCTGCACCTGTCTGCGTGGTCCTGCTCTCCTGACATAATGAGTTAGCAGGCCTCAGAGTGAGGCAGGGAGTCCTGTGGGTGGTATGAGCTGCGCCTACTGGAGCAGACTTGCCGTCTGTAGTAGTGAGCTAGCTGTCCGCAGCACCCACAGTCTGCTGCTGAGGGAAGGTGCCCCACACTGGCGGGATCCAGCATGCAGAGACA